TTGTTAGAGATCTAGCGAGATACGGTACAATAGAGCGTCTGTAACCTTCAGTGCGTGTCCTTATAGGTTTGTGAGTGAAACCGGTTTCTGAATGAGAAAGGCGCTGAATAAGGGCGGAATGAAGGGATGGCAAATATAAGATAAAATCTTATTGGAGAAGCTTTTTTTTACAGGACTTTAGGTGATTTGTCACTACATACTGCACCACAAGTTAACGTGGTATGAGACTAGAAACCGACAGAAACTTGAGGAATCGGGAAATGAGTTTGAGGTCCTTGTTAAAAGGACCAAGGAAGATACCAGGGGACACATAAAGCCAGTGGGGCAAAACGCAAACAAAAACAAACCCCCTTATGTGATGCATATCCAAAGATATGAGCCTCAAGTGTCTTGCCATTGAAGCGATTTCATAATTTAATGGATGTAAGAACACACAATGATAGTGAGAACAATTTCATCACGAGTCCCTTTAATATAGATCCACAGTATTATGATGTATAGTGGTTGTGAAACGAAAATAAAACATCCAAATCAAAGGCCCCAAATTCTTGACAGTCATGCTAATACGGCGATGATGGCCCGGTGGTAAAGTCATCAAATTATCACCCCGGGACGAGTGTTTGAATCCCACCACTACCGCCTGATTTCCCCATTGTGTGTTGTACGGCAGCCTTTTGATTGGTCGCTTCGTCCTTCCTGAAAATGGTGTCGTTGTATATCCGGTAAAAGGAAGTAAATATGAAAAAAATGACAGATGACAATGAGCGAGAAAATCAATATCAGATTCCAGTTCGATAAACTCAACTTCCTTCGTACGTCGATTCAACCTCGAGATGTACCAATAATTTCCCAGGGGCCTAGTGGAAAGGTGGGTGGATGCTAATGGCTTGTGTTCGTGAATAAACGAGATATTGTTCTCCTTTCTGAACCTACCTTCTAATAGCACACACACCCGTCAGGCGAGTAAATTTGGACAGTTCTGACGATGTTCGCTGTGTGAGGGTACGGAGAATGCTGTGCTAATACAGCACCTTATCGTGGGTCTGAAAATCTGTGATTGATACAAGTCTGATTGGAAATCAATTCATCACTCACCTAACGAGCCCCGACAAGCCATTATTTACGCACTGGAATGTCAAACACGTTAGCCTGTCCATTTTTACTGAGTCGGTTTACTGGCACGTCATAACAGACGGGTTGTTACTGAGTTGCGAACAGGCGAACAAGATGTACTGGAGCAGATCAGTGTTAAACGTTAAATGTGTACTGTTAGGACCATCAGCCTCAGAAACGGATTCGATCGGTAGAACGGAATAATGCATTTATTCATGCTAACGAGACATGTCTGAATCAACGGTTTTGCTACCGGCAGTTGTATAGCATGCATGAAGTACAACATCTACAAACATAATAGGGTTATTCATTTTCAAACGTGAACGGGGTTCTCATAAACCAATTGAGTCATTGATTTTAACACCACATTAAAGGAGCAATCATTTACCACCGGATACAGTCTACATTTCATACAAACTTTCAATAGCATATATACTGTCGGCCAGTTAGGCTTACTGTTAGTGGCGTGTTTGCCGAACGTTTGATCAGCTGATCCGATGTTCAAATCTTCTGGGGAGGGAGGATCGATCAGCAGCTGTTTGGCCAATGCAGGCTTATGCATGACAAAGCCGAGTGGGCAATCCCGTGTTATTGGATGTTATTACAGTTCACATCGGTACGATTTGCTAGAATTGTTCTATTATTTACCTACTGAACAACCACCCACTGCGTGATGTATTGTCCTAATAAAACCAAAGGAGCTTACGTGTACGACAGTCTACCCTCGAAAACACCAAATCGAAATGGGTGAGTTGGTCTCTAGTATGAATTGATTCCCTCCTGGATTATTGTGGTTCACGATTTACCATCATAAAATATGCATGAAAAAATGGATTAATCTAGTTTTCAAATATCCATCATTTAGAGCATCGATTATCTGATTCTCAGTTTCGGGTAGCTACCTTGTTTTTTGTTGTTTCATTTTGGGTCTTTGATGGTACAATGTAATCATTTAATAGATTGCCGTCAGAATAGTTATAGTAACTGATATTTTGTATTTATATGCACAAATTGGGTTGGTCTCATCATCGAACAATTAGACTAACGTTAGTTTGTTATTGGATTCAAAACGGTGTAAACATCTAGGTGTAATGGAATTTGATCTGTGATGGCCAACACGGAGAACTGGACAACTGTTTTGTCTTGGCTATGATTAATTCATCGGCGGTGCATACAAAGTGTTGATTACGAGCCATGCGTTTATATTATTGGCTATCGATCGGTTTGGACCTCCAACCCGACTGTTCGTGGTTCGAGTCCTGCTCGAAACATAAGCATGAGTCTCAACCCGAACTTCAGATGGGCGACTTCAAAAGAGGGTAGGAGCTTGAGTATCGACACTTGTTTGTGTAGGTATGTATGCTGCACGTAGTTATCGCGCGCTAGCGCTCTCTCTTTATGGACTGTTGACTCCAGTCAGTAACCCGTTCACGAGTTCCCCAATTCACAAAGGCCCACGGAAGCCTTTAGAGCTTAACTGGTTGATTGTGAACAGAGCTCAAGTTAGGAAAGTCACATGCCCCAGTCAACACGGTATCATTTCCACTCAAAAACTACCATACCATTTTAAGTTGAACTTGAGAAACTATCATTTTGATTTGCGAAACCGTCTTTTTGAATTGAGAAATCATCACTTTGAACTGAGAAGCTGTCACTGAATTGAGAAAGACACGCTGTGGTTGAATCCGCTTCCGTTCAGCGCACCTCATTTGTCAATTGATCACACATTTTTTCAACTCCCGGATTGACCACCTGTCTTCCCACGCTCTTTCTGTGTTGAAATGAGGCATCTATAACGGACGTCGAATCCGTGGGTCGGTGAAGCCATATTGTATATATATATATATATACATTTACCACCGGCTTGAAAACAAGCATGGTGCCAACGCAACAACAATGACAGTGAAAGGGGATAGGTGGATTAAGATACAGAACATGGTGAAAAGTGGGTGAGACAGTTAAACATGGA